AGGAGACTTGTTTTCCTTTGCTAAAGTAAGGAAACTTTGCTTCTTTTGATCCTGTAAACAAACGTTGGTTTTCACGAGACGCACCGGTGCATGCGCAACGCTGACCTCATACGTCATTCCCCCGGAACTGCTTCTGTGTACAACTGTTGGCGCAAGCTAGATTAAAGTGATTATTACATTTTGAATATGGATATTTTTCTTACAAAAACGCATCAATTCGCTACAGGAGGCCACTTGTTTTTGTGGAAAGGTGCTATATATTTCACGTCTTTTGGACTGAAGCAATGCAACACCCGCTGAGTGCAACGATAGAGCTTGAAAGATCAAAGACTATTTTTAATATAACTCCGACTGGATTCGTCTGAAAGAAGAAAGTCATATACACCTAGGATGCATCGGGGGTGAGTAAAACACAGCCTAATTTTCATTTTTGGGTGAACTAACCCTTTAAGTCACTCCACACTGTATTTTAACTAGGAAAACTTGATTACAGCATCAAGAGGTTTGTCCATCCTCACTAAAAGACAACCAGTCACAACCAATTAAACAAGTTTAATATGCCGTTATATGGAACAGCATTTTTGACCAACGAGATCTCACTGTGGGCGGGGCTATGCAGCATAATGTCAATAAATAGACCATCAACAACCAGCATAATGTGGAAAAGTTGACCTGTATGGATTTTTATATGCCTGATTTCAATATCTACATAGAATGTGGATGATATAGATTATAATATACTAAAATAACAGTAGCACTTTACAATAAGGTTTCATTTGTGAACATCAATTTATTATATTAGGTAACATGAACAATACCTATATAGGATTTATTAATCTTAGTTAATGTTAAGTTCAACATTTACTGGTACATTATAGAAATAAAAAGCTTTCTGTTAACAATAGTTAATGTACTCTGAATTCATATGAACATTTTTGTTAGCTAACATAAACAAAGGTTAATAAATGCTGTAAAAAATGTTCATTAGTTAATGCATTAACTAATGCTAACAAATGAGACCTTATTGTAAAGTTACCAAAATAACTAAAACTAATAATAATAATAAAAATATTAGTAACTATATAGACATATTTAAAAAAAAAACATCAAAATGACAAAAAAAGGACTAAAACTTTAACTAAACTTAGTGAAACCAGCAAATATAAAAATGAAATCTAAAATGATAATAGTGTTTCAGAGATAATAAAATAACACTGGTGTAAATGTAAATATAATGCCAATGTATATACAATTTAATGACATCACATAAACACCTATTTTGCACAGTATTTACCCAAAACGCGTTAATAAAATGAAAAGCAGAAGTAGTTTATTATCCATCAACGTTTATTATGCATTGATGAGGCTAACATTAGGAGGACATTTTTATTGCTCAAGCAGACTTAATGCTAATAATTTCAAAATGACTGAATATCTAAAATCAACGATCTGACTAGTCATGTGTTGCTGTATTGTCACGTGTGTTTTGAATGAGTTCACATGAGTGTGGCTCATGCTTGTTTTGTTGATTGTTGCTCATGCAGGGAGCAGAGAGTCACAGGAACAATGGTGTTTATTTTGACGGGTCTGTCGGTCCTCATGGCCCCCATTCTGAAGGTTTGAACATTCATATCGATTAAACTCACTCCATACTGTCTTTTTGCATACTAAAACTGATCTTTCTCCAGGAGAAGAAGACCGAATGTTAAAAAGGTTTATAGTGTTTAATGCATGTGTTTGCTTTGAGTTCATGTATCCTACTAAGAGTTGACAAAATATGCTTTTTTTAGCACATAAACATATTTATCCGATTCTTTCTCTTCTGGGAAAACAGACCACAAATATGAATGACTCATGACTCTGGCTTGTCAAATAGCAGGATCATAATTCATATCTGTGATGTAAACAGAAGAGTATTTTAGAAAATATCAGTTGTGTCTACAAAATATTTCTTAGGGTATTTTAAGCAATTCTAGTTATTTTTCTTAAGTGAATTAAATAGGCTTATATTTATTTATCCCTGTATCCACAACTCCATTAAACTTGATTTCTTAAATTAATTTATGGAAAAAAAGGTTAAAAAAAACTCAGCTGTTAACAATTTTCAAAAATCATGTTTTTTCATTGTGCATTCCAATTAATCTCAATCAAACTGCAGTTGGGTTATTTTGATTAGATTAACAAGTAATAAAAAAATACAGCTAACGTAACACAATAAAAAGCAATAAAAACATGATAACATAATAAAAAAACATGATTTTTGAAAATGTTTAAAAATGGAGCAGCATTTATATAAACATTTATAATGTGCATTATTTATAAATATTATCACAATAAAGATCATATTTAATAAATGTGAATTATTTAATCAATTAATTTATAAATATCTAAATATTTATAAATAAATATATGTCTAAATATTGATATATTTATATATTTAATGTTTACAAATACATACATTAGATATATTAAATATATAAACATTTATAATGTGCATTATTTATAAATATTTAGACATTTATCAATTCTTTATAAATATTATCTTTATTGTGGTATTACTATCACTGTACCATGGTACTGGCACAGTACTTTTTTCTGTAGGTTGGTACCTCCAAGACACCATGATATAATTGTGATGTCCACCTTTTTCAGTGGTTAGTGCAGTTACTGCCCCCCACTGGAGATTTACTTTGCAAACATCACAGTTTGGTAAAGGATATTGACCTGTGAGTGGGAAAAATCTCATACCAGGATGTAGAGGCTTTCATTTCTGTGTGCTTTCTGTCAATAACACAAATTCTTTTTCATTATAAGCTGTTTGCATTGCTCAAATCTCCTCCTTTGGAGCATATTATGTTGACAAGGTTGGATTTGGGGTGTGTTTGGTAGATACTGCTTTTGTCTTTGCGTAACCTTTGATTCTGTATGTGTGTACAGTATTGCTCTGTGTGTTTGAAGACAAACTGAAGCGGTATTATTTATATAATACTGTAATACAGTGTGTTTGGTTTGATCCCTGCAGTTCATCCCTATGCCCGTGCTGTACGGTGTGTTCCTCTACATGGGTGTTGCGTCTCTCAATGGCGTCCAGGTGAGTTCATGCAGCTCAGCGAGTGTCATGTTACTGTTTGGCAGAAAGAGACCCTAATCTTCCTGACTACCTGATCTCCGCTGGAGCCTGGGAACCCGACCGATTCCAGAACATGATCTGAGTTCAGGAAAGTCGGGATAAATCAGGCGTATGCAGGATTGTCACGGTGTAAAATGCCTGGATAAACCTAGAGCACTTCAGGACAGATTTGTGCATCAGAATGTGTTTAAATAATGGTGCTTGCTGTTAAACCTTGATGCATAAGCCATCCCAACCCTTTTACAGAAATAATCTATATTTTTTTATGATGTAAATATTATATATTATTATATATATTAGTCAATATTATTTATTTTGTAATTTATTTTACATTTTTGTGACAACTGGATTTTTTAAATGTATTTTGTATATAATAAATATACAAAAATATTACATTTTATTTTTAAAGTAGAATACATATATATTATATATTTTTATAAGATTATTTAAAGTATTTTTATTTTGTTAAATAAAATATAGAAACACAAATAGAATTTAAATAGAATATATATATATATATGGGATATTTTTATACACTTTTTTAATAGAATACATATTGCATATTATATATTTAAATAAGATAATTTTAAATAGTCTAATTTTTATATATACATATTTCATTATATTATATACAGAATGTTTTTATTTACTTGTATATTTATTATTACATTTTAAATTGTTAAATAGAAAATATTATATTAAAATGAAATAATAATATAATAATTGTATTTATTCATTTTAATATAAAATTAGATAGTTAATTTTATATTTAATTTTCTAAATATTTTTATTTTTTTTTAATTTTTTGTGAGGATATCTGCCTCTGAATAAACTATGAATAAATCTTTTTGTGTGTCTGTAGTTTATGGATCGTCTCCAGCTCTTGTTGATGCCTGCAAAACACCAACCAGATCTGATCTACCTGAGACACGTACCGCTCAGACGAGTTCACTTGTTCACCTTCATACAGGTGTGTGTGTGTGTGTGTGTGTGTGCTCACATGCTCAGCCTCCTACAGGGCTCAGATCTATAGCTTTAGTGCTGTATATGCATGATGAATGTGTGTGTCTGTCACAGGTGCTGTGTTTGGCTCTGCTGTGGGTGCTGAAGTCAACTTTTTTAGAAAAATCACGAGTCGCAAATATAATCATCAGGCTTTTGAGAACCGTTTATTTGGTCTTTTCTCAATCATCATTGCATTGCATTGCATTATATGTTTTGATCCTAAAACTAAGCATTTAAATATCATCTTACTAAGACATTATTGGAACATAAAGAGTGAAAACTGATATTTATATGCATTTTATGTATGTAGCGTAATACTTTATACTGTTATAAAGATCTCATTGACTTCTATCAGAATTTCATCTTTCTTTTTGACCACATAAATGTCAGAAACTGCATCAAATTGCATATTTTTGCTCAGTTTGGGCCTCTGAATAAAACTGAGCTGCTTTTTCTTTAACAGAAAAGAGCACCTTATTACTTACTATATTATACAATATGAGCCTGATTTATCAAATATAACAATCTCTTATTTTATCTTATTAAAGGTTCTATAAACGGTTCCATTTCCAAAACGAAATAAATAAATACATTTCAGACTATTATTTCACATGGCAGTCTATACAGGGTTAATCTTCACACATCTGAGATCGCTTTCTGTTCTTTTCCAGATTCTTGCGTTGGTCGCGGTGAGAAAAGCCATGGATTATGTGTTCTCGCAGCACGATCTCAGTTACCTGGATGACATCATGCCTGAGAAAGACAAGAAGAAGAAAGAGGACGAGAAAAAGAAGAAGAAAAAGAAAGGGAGCATTGACAGCGACATGAACGACGTGAGTCTCTCTCTGTGTTAGAAACAAGTGCTTCAGTAAAGCTGCAGTGGTAAGAATGTCCCACCCCTGCGTTTACAGTCGGATTTTCCAGCCAGTGAGAACATTCCCAGCATAAAGATCTCCATGGAGGCCATGGAACAGGAGCCAGTGCTGGGGGAGAAGCCCTCAGACCGTGAGTAAACACACAGGGTCTCCCTCCACCTCACGCAGGGGCTCCAGCCGTCACTCTGTCCTCTTACTAACAACTTTAATAATGGCCTCTCCCTCCCCTCTTCCAGCTTTCCTCACGCGCTCCTCCAGAAAACATCTCTGAATCCCGTCTTTCTCTTTGTTTATGCTGTTGCTTGGTTTCCTGGTCTGTGTGGATCAGTAACAGATAACACACAATTAATCACTGTGCGTACTGTATGTATTAATAAAGTCAACATGCAGTCAAAATGGACCCTATTTACTTTCCTAATACATGTTCCTGGTCTTTTCATGCGTGATTCATTGCAAATGTTTGTCTTTTGGCGAAATAACTTGATCCACCTTTAAAACCAATTCACTTTTTGCACTTATTTCTCAATCTCTCCAAGCACCTGGATTTATTTTGCTCTGTAGGGATGGGAATTATGTGGAATTTAACGATTAATGATTTCAGGTCCATAACGGTTGCACTGACGTTCCTTTTTGTTAATTATTGTGGGAGAAACAATGCACATTGTTTAAAAACTATTCCTATTCACAACCTTCAGACAGCCCTTCAATAGCAATTTATTTTACAAAATTAATATTTTTAGTCCTCAAAAGAGTTCTATTATGAATAAATGCTGTTCTTTTGAACTTTCTATTTATCAAAGAATCCAATTTTTTTTTAATTAGTTTCCACAGAAATATGAAGCAGCACAACTGTTTTCACCATTGATAATATTAATAAATGTTTGTTGAGCAGCAAATCAGCATATTAGAATGATTTCTGAGGGATCACTGAAGACTGGAGAAATGATGCTGAAAATTCGTTACATGTATTCAAATAGAAAACAGTTATTTTAAATTATAATAATATTTCACGATATTACTGGTTTTACTTTATTTTTGATCTAATAAATGCAGCCTTGGTGAGCAGAAGAGATTCTTTGAAAAACATTAATAACTCCAAGATCACAAAATGATGTTTTAATCTCAAGAAAACACTGAATCATCGTTTTCATTTAATATCCTGTTTCATTCGCAAGTGTCACATCATGGGTTGCAAATGTTGACTTTAACCTGATGGGTTTTATCTCTGCATTTCCTCTTCTGTTTAATTCTAACCACTAACCAATCAACTCTTCTTTTCAGCTCTTCTGTTAACCCTCTATGATTTGACAATCTGCCATGTGTATGTATGTATATTAACAGCACATGTGTTTGTTTCTCATAGGAAAGCCCATGTCCTTCCTCACTCCCTACTGATGGAAAGCACTTTTTCCTTTCCAAGACTGTGTCAAGGTAAATCTGTGGGGGTGTGTGTGTGTGTGTGAGCTTGTGTGCACATGCATGTCTATAATTATCCAGCTTAGATCAACATGAATTCAATGCTGGCTCAGGCTGGTTTATGGTTGTTAGTGCTGGTTAAGCTGATGGAACCAGCACTACCATGCTAATTTTAGTCTTAATTTTGGTAAAATCACTGTAATGCATTGGCAGACCAATCAGTTAGCTTTATAATGCTGTGTGTTTTTGTAATCATATCTAACAGCTCTCTCTTTCGCTTTCTCCTAGTCAGGATTTAAACCCCTTTAAGAAAACTGTGCCTCAGATTAGAATCGATTTGGACCCCGACAACAACAAATTCTTCTGGAAAACTCCAGCCTCCGAAACGTCTCTTTAAGCACTCCTGAAAACACTTTCTCACACACACTTTTAGGTCCAGATGATGGTTTGGTCAATCAGCTAAACAGGAATGTTTCTTTTTAAAGTCCAAAAAAGACACATGTCATTTCGACACTACAACCAATAGCTGCACAAACACAAACTCTTTACCAAAGAGTTTTTAAAACTTTATTTAATTTTTGAGCTCCTCAGTATGTCCTTCTGACGTAAAACCAATTCACTTTTTGCACTTATTTCTCAATCTCTCCAAGCACCTGGATTTATTTTGCTCTGTAGGGATGGGAATTATGTGGAATTTAACGATTAATGATTTCAGGTCCATAACGGTTGCACTGACGTTCCTTTTTGTTAATTATTGTGGGAGAAACAATGCACATTGTTTAAAAACTATTCCTATTCACAACCTTCAGACAGCCCTTCAATAGCAATTTATTTTACAAAATTAATATTTTTAGTCCTCAAAAGAGTTCTATTATGAATAAATGCTGTTCTTTTGAACTTTCTATTTATCAAAGAATCCAATTTTTTTTTATTAGTTTCCATAGAAATATGATTTTTTTTTCTAACGATTTATTTTTAGGTTCTGGGTCCAGACTGATTTTTTTCCAATCATTTTTTAACTTTTATAACCATATTTTATTAAACAGAAAGCATGTCAGAATGACGTCATAATCAGTCTTAATAGCGTAGAAAAAAATCATGTTTAAAACAAAAATTTAAGTTTGAGTTTTCTTTTTGCTAAAGTACTGCACTTCATTCAAATGAGCACATTAGATCAAATTTTCTAAAAATACCAATGAACAAATTCACTTTTCTATGGAGGCCACAGAATAAAAAAATACAAATGGTAATTGTTACTTATTTCTCAATTCTTTTTTTTATATATATATATATATATAGCTCATAATTCCGACTGTTATTCTCAGAATTCTAACAAATTTGAGAAAAAAAAGTCAGAATTGTGAGATTTAAACAGAATTGCAAGAACAAATTCAGAATTGAATTACCATATTTATTTTTCAATTGCGTAAACAGGCTTCCATAGTTTTAGTATGTTTTTTTTCTTCTCCGAAAACTCAAACCTTTAGTCTTTTAGAAGTGTATTTAAGCGTATATTATTACTAAACCACAATGGTGGCCGTAACTATTTAACTGCATCAAATTGCATATTTTTGCTCAGTTTGGGCCTCTGAATAAAACTGAGCTGCTTTTTCTTTAACAGAAAAGAGCACCTTATTACTTACTATATTATACAATATGAGCCTGATCAAATATAACAATCTCTTATTTTATCTTATTAAAGGTTCTATAAACGGTTCCATTTCCAAAACGAAATAAATGAATACATTTCAGACTATTATTTCACATGGCAGTCTATACAGGGTTAATCTTCACACATCTGAGATCGCTTTCTGTTCTTTTCCAGATTCTTGCGTTGGTCGCGGTGAGAAAAGCCATGGATTATGTGTTCTCGCAGCACGATCTCAGTTACCTGGATGACATCATGCCTGAGAAAGACAAGAAGAAGAAAGAGGACGAGAAAAAGAAGAAGAAAAAGAAAGGGAGCATTGACAGCGACATGAACGACGTGAGTCTCTCTCTGTGTTAGAAACAAGTGCTTCAGTAAAGCTGCAGTGGTAAGAATGTCCCACCCCTGCGTTTACAGTCGGATTTTCCAGCCAGTGAGAACATTCCCAGCATAAAGATCTCCATGGAGGCCATGGAACAGGAGCCAGTGCTGGGGGAGAAGCCCTCAGACCGTGAGTAAACACACAGGGTCTCCCTCCACCTCACGCAGGGGCTCCAGCCGTCACTCTGTCCTCTTACTAACAACTTTAATAATGGCCTCTCCCTCCCCTCTTCCAGCTTTCCTCACGCGCTCCTCCAGAAAACATCTCTGAATCCCGTCTTTCTCTTTGTTTATGCTGTTGCTTGGTTTCCTGGTCTGTGTGGATCAGTAACAGATAACACACAATTAATCACTGTGCGTACTGTATGTATTAATAAAGTCAACATGCAGTCAAAATGGACCCTATTTACTTTCCTAATACATGTTCCTGGTCTTTTCATGCGTGATTCATTGCAAATGTTTGTCTTTTGGCGAAATAACTTGATCCACCTTTAAAACCAATTCACTTTTTGCACTTATTTCTCAATCTCTCCAAGCACCTGGATTTATTTTGCTCTGTAGGGATGGGAATTATGTGGAATTTAACGATTAATGATTTCAGGTCCATAACGGTTGCACTGACGTTCCTTTTTGTTAATTATTGTGGGAGAAACAATGCACATTGTTTAAAAACTATTCCTATTCACAACCTTCAGACAGCCCTTCAATAGCAATTTATTTTACAAAATTAATATTTTTAGTCCTCAAAAGAGTTCTATTATGAATAAATGCTGTTCTTTTGAACTTTCTATTTATCAAAGAATCCAATTTTTTTTTAATTAGTTTCCACAGAAATATGAAGCAGCACAACTGTTTTCACCATTGATAATATTAATAAATGTTTGTTGAGCAGCAAATCAGCATATTAGAATGATTTCTGAGGGATCACTGAAGACTGGAGAAATGATGCTGAAAATTCGTTACATGTATTCAAATAGAAAACAGTTATTTTAAATTATAATAATATTTCACGATATTACTGGTTTTACTTTATTTTTGATCTAATAAATGCAGCCTTGGTGAGCAGAAGAGATTCTTTGAAAAACATTAATAACTCCAAGATCACAAAATGATGTTTTAATCTCAAGAAAACACTGAATCATCGTTTTCATTTAATATCCTGTTTCATTCGCAAGTGTCACATCATGGGTTGCAAATGTTGACTTTAACCTGATGGGTTTTATCTCTGCATTTCCTCTTCTGTTTAATTCTAACCACTAACCAATCAACTCTTCTTTTCAGCTCTTCTGTTAACCCTCTATGATTTGACAATCTGCCATGTGTATGTATGTATATTAACAGCACATGTGTTTGTTTCTCATAGGAAAGCCCATGTCCTTCCTCACTCCCTACTGATGGAAAGCACTTTTTCCTTTCCAAGACTGTGTCAAGGTAAATCTGTGGGGGTGTGTGTGTGTGTGTGAGCTTGTGTGCACATGCATGTCTATAATTATCCAGCTTAGATCAACATGAATTCAATGCTGGCTCAGGCTGGTTTATGGTTGTTAGTGCTGGTTAAGCTGATGGAACCAGCACTACCATGCTAATTTTAGTCTTAATTTTGGTAAAATCACTGTAATGCATTGGCAGACCAATCAGTTAGCATTATAATGCTGTGTGTTTTTGTAATCATATCTAACAGCTCTCTCTTTCGCTTTCTCCTAGTCAGGATTTAAACCCCTTTAAGAAAACTGTGCCTCAGATTAGAATCGATTTGGACCCCGACAACAACAAATTCTTCTGGAAAACTCCAGCCTCCGAAACGTCTCTTTAAGCACTCCTGAAAACACTTTCTCACACACACTTTTAGGTCCAGATGATGGTTTGGTCAATCAGCTAAACAGGAATGTTTCTTTTTAAAGTCCAAAAAAGACACATGTCATTTCGACACTACAACCAATAGCTGCACAAACACAAACTCTTTACCAAAGAGTTTTTAAAACTTTATTTAATTTTTGAGCTCCTCAGTATGTCCTTCTGACGTTTTGGTAGCATTACTGTTGGAAAGTTGAAAAAAGTGTTTTTTTTCTAACGATTTATTTTTAGGTTCTGGGTCCAGACTGATTTTTTTCCAATCATTTTTTAACTTTTATAACCATATTTTATTAAACAGAAAGCATGTCAGAATGACGTCATAATCAGTCTTAATAGCGTAGAAAAAAATCATGTTTAAAACAAAAATTTAAGTTTGAGTTTTCTTTTTGCTAAAGTACTGCACTTCATTCAAATGAGCACATTAGATCAAATTTTCTAAAAATACCAATGAACAAATTCACTTTTCTATGGAGGCCACAGAATAAAAAAATACAAATGGTAATTGTTACTTATTTCTCAATTCTTTTTTTTATATATATATATATATATAGCTCATAATTCCGACTGTTATTCTCAGAATTCTAACAAATTTGAGAAAAAAAAGTCAGAATTGTGAGATTTAAACAGAATTGCAAGAACAAATTCAGAATTGAATTACCATATTTATTTTTCAATTGCGTAAACAGGCTTCCATAGTTTTAGTATGTTTTTTTTCTTCTCCGAAAACTCAAACCTTTAGTCTTTTAGAAGTGTATTTAAGCGTATATTATTACTAAACCACAATGGTGGCCGTAACTATTTATCCCAATAAGGGAAACTGCAGTTTTAAAGACAATTTTTTTCCTTGTTCTTAACAAGACACTTAAAGTGGGAAACACTCATGAATACAATGAATATGATTTTCTAGTTCTACCTCTTATAATGGACTGTAGGTGCCAGGCACTCTGTGTTTGAGTGAAGCATTTCTCTATGCAGTATGTAACGGATGTCAACGGCAATCTTAAAGACACGTGACGGGAAGAGCGGGTACCGCGCTGGATGCCTCTTGACTAAATTCCCTCTGCCCTTTTGTGAACTCCAAATCTGTTTTTTCATTCGTAAATGACAATCCATAACAGGGCGGATACTTTCAATGTGATTGCGTTTAATGTATTTACTATGAAGCAAATGATTTATGGTGATTTTATTATCTGGATATTTTTATTGTACTTTTTTTTTTTTAAAGAAGCAATGCTGTAGATAACGACGTCTTTTATACTGAGATGAAACGTTGAGAGGTGTAAGGACTCAATAAATGAGATTTAATGTGGAACAGCTGCACCGAGTGACAGCAATAAGCAAATTTCCTTGTTTTTGTGTGTGTGGGAACTTAACTACTGCCATTAAGACAGATCATGTTCTCTTACGTTCAGCACAAGGATATTTCAGTCGGCAAATCTGGTGTAGAATATTTTTTAAACATCACAACATATATATATACGCCACAGTCGTTAAAACTTGAATTTAGAGACGCAAGTCAGTGTTTGTACATAGATCTGTTTATCATCATCATCATCATCATCTCTGATCAATAATGTCTTCCATTTCTTTTGATTGTATCGCATTGCCTGTGCATTTTCAATGACTGAACGGTTTTAGCCAGATGCATATGTAGTGTGAAATGGTGTTTTCATAAATCATTTCTTTTAGATGCTGTTTTTTAAAACCTAATATTGAGATGTATTTATTGTCCTTAATTCTCTTCTGGAAGATGTCTTACTCTCTGATTATGACGCTACAGGCAATAATGAGATTAACAGTTGATTACTGTTCTGTAAAAGGGAATCACCCTGTAGCACTGTGAGGTGATGGGCAAATTAAAGCAATTATTAAACCTCTTTCTGGTGGTGTGATGCATTCAAATTAGCTTTTATGTGTTGGATGTATACTTGACTACACACAAATTACATAAAGACGCTATTTTGTTTGATTTAAAGCCATAGTATTAAAGGGGTCATAAGATGCCAATTTTCCACAAGTTGATATGATTCTTTAGGGTCTTAATGAAAAGTCTGTAACATAGTTTGGTTAAAATTTCTCAATGGTAGTGTAAAAAACACCTTTTTTTTTACCCTGTCAAAAACAGCTCTTTTCAGATCAAGCCGTTTTTGTAGCATTTCCCTTTAAATGTTAATGAGCTCTGCTGACCCCGCCCCTCTCTTCCGAGCTGCTCTCAGAGGGACTGTTTACTTTAGCTGCATTCATCGTGAAACTTGCTAATTAGCACATTAGGAAAGGGTAGTTTTTGGCTTTGGTCTAAAGAGCAGAAGGGCTTATTGAAAAATGCAAATTCATTCTCTGCCAGCAGGTGGCGCTTTTCGCCAGGAATATAGCCGTTTCCCCCATAACTGCAGTAAACAAAGCAGTGCAGCACCTGACTTTGAAACTTGCAGGGCTCATATTTAATCGTTTAAATAGCCTTTTGAAGTGTAATCTCATTATGCATTCCCGCGGTACTACCTGCGCACACATCAATAGCGTCACTGGGCTGTAGGTTGCCAAGTTGAGGGGACAAATGGGTTGCAATTTGTATGTGTCGATCGTGTGAGAAAGATGCGTTTCAGACAAGATCTGGCAACTGGACAACCTTGGAATTTGTTGTCGTGATTATTCATATAATGAGGTTTGGCCCATACAAATTACGGGAGTTTTACCGGAAGCGAATGTAGCAAACATATAAAATATGACCAGTCGGATTTTTTATTTTTTTTTAAATAGAAAGATTAAAAATATGGGAGAAATACGGGAAAATATTTAAACGGGATGATAGCGGGATAGAATGGTAAATTACGGGAGAATCCTGGAAAAACGGGAGGGTTGACAGGTATGAAATAGAGATTTTAAAAAAAGCACTGGGTGGATTTTTATCATTATTGGGTGGATGTGTACACACACTTCAAACACACATTTATGTTCAAACAACAACAAAAGTGAATTTTGCATCCGATGACCCCTTTAAAGAATTTAGTCAGGGTAGCACCATATCTGACAGGAATGAAAACAAGGCCACGAGGGAATGAAGTACAGCGCATTTAAGCGATGTTTGCTAACGAAAAAACATTCTGTGGACAAAAACTTCATGAAACAGTTCTGAAACTTGTGATTTTTGACCACTACTACATCTTTATGCAGCACATGCCACTGTAAGACTGTTGCAAATCGCAGCCTCGTTTTCGTCGCGTTAAATTCAAAATGGCGTCTACCGATTTAAAGACACGATGGATTTTTTAAATCGATTTATGCATTTATATGGATACATTTAAGTTTTAAAAGGATAAATATTTACATAAATTCAATTTTAAACACTTAATCCCCAACTAATTAACTAAAGGAAAAAATAACCCTTTCCCATTCTCCCTCTGAGGTCAAAGGGCTGCAGGCCAAAGCCAAACGGCTCTACGTAACAAAACCTGAAATGGGAATCTGGGTCTAATCTGGATAAAAGCCCAGAGGCCAGAGACACCGTGTTCTAGTCCTTGTAATCTCTCATCTTCAAGTCATTCCTTAGAACTGGAATGATCTCCTTCGTCGCCCGTCTGAATACATAACACCGCATTCTCATTTCTTGCACATCTCTGACCAAATCTTGACATCTAGCCTCCTCGTAATCCCTTTTACGCACATGTTTCACCGAGATAAACCCTGTTTACGTGCGGATAAACGGCAGAATGACTGGTCATTATCTAAATTGCTCACTATCACCGCACAAGCATCTTCCAAGAAGATAACCAGAGCTGAAACTCGCGTATTTTCCATTTCAGTAATTCAGGATCTCATCACGGGAATGGATTTAGCACGTAATGAAGCTAAAAGGCTCGTCACACTGGACTAAATGTCATCACATGCTTGGACAACTTTAATACGGAGTCGTTAGTAGTTACTTTGATCATCTCCTGATATATGGCCTTTCTCACGAATTTCACCTTCTCTGTGTGCTGGACGCTGTCCTACACTGTAAGCAAACGCACGTCTGCTCTATTAACCCAAGGGTCACTGTATATAGCAATGAGTAAGACCTCTGGGATCGAGCCAGGAACCTTCAAATGAGCTTTTATGTTGGATCAATCATACAGATTCTTCATTCCACACTCGGGTTTGTATTATTTAAAGGACAATAACCTACAGATGCTTAGAAATAAAAAGCCTAATAGCGATTCAAACCCTAAACAAGGCCATTGTTATGGCCTTATACATTTATATGAATATATTTTCCTTCCATTTACCAGCATTGATCTGTTGACCACTATGCCACAACACCCCTTGATACTAAAGGTAACCACCCCATGTATATTTTTATGTGGAATCTCTTGTTTAAAAGTGAGAAAAAATATTTCATTAGCTTTATAATGATCTTTTATTACTAGACTTAAAACAGTAATGTCGCTCTTTACCATAGTTCAGCTCTCTAAAAAATTATATAGGCCATGATCAGTAAGTCACGCAAAATATTTTATTCCATTAACTAATCAAAATTTATTTAACCAATTTCAACTTTATTTTTTTTAAGTTATATGACATTTAACACGATATTTTTAAGTCAGTTTACTATATTTGAAGTTGAAATTTGATCATATGTAGGCTCTTCGAACACAAGTACAGTTTTGCAGCTTTAAATACAATTCGCAATGAAGTCGATTAACCCACAATAATTAACAATGTCATTAAACCGTTCTAAATTAATTTCACAAACAGTTAACAATATTTTTAAGCGCATTTGAATTTTAATCTTTGGAAATGCATGTAGGGCCTATGTATGTGATGAATAGCATCACATAAATCTTTTTTTTAGATTTATCTTCTTGCGACATCTACTGGCCACTTAGCAGAACTGCAGGAGCTTCTCATTCCTGCTTCACAGCACGTTTTCAGTCCTCTCTCCAGAAGCAAAGCTGAGATCCTTCATTTTACACTTTGCTTCCTGATTGTTAAAATTATTATACATAAATGTTCATTTAATTTTGTCACAACACATTTTTTTTTTAAATAAAATGTTACAAATTAAATCATTTTAAAATAAAAATATATATATATTTTTTTTAATGCA